GAGAGAGAGAGAGAGAGAGAGAGGGAGGGAGTTATGCACGGACCTGTATGGTTTTGCCGGGTTGGAGAGGGGTGGCCTCGGCGAAGACGCGGTCACCGGCGCGGGCGCTGCGGTGGTGGTTGATGCTGAGCTGGATGCCCGCCACCCGCCGGTACCCGGAGGCGACGTGCGCCCCCATGCTGGCCAGCGCCTCCGCTATCAGCGCCGATACCCCTCCGTGGAGCACCTTGAACGGCTGCCAATCCCACTCCCGCCCATTACTTCCTCACACGCATCCCCCAAAACAAGAACACCGGCCGGGCGGCGCGCGCGTACCTGGCAGCAGGACTCGGTGACGGTAAGCCGGCCGTTGACCCTCGTTGCGGAGACGACGTCGATCTCGAAGCCGATGGCATGGAGCGGCGCGTCCAGCTCTGCCGTCTTTGACGTCGGTGGTGGCTTCGTCATCGTCACCTACTCTTCTTCTTCTTCTTCTTCGTCTTCTGAGGCCACAAAGGGGAGGAATGATTGGAGTCACCGGTTAACAGAACATGGTGGGGGTCCGGTCACAGCCATTAAATTATTGTTGGAAAAGGGGAAATGTATACTGGTCGTTCGATGGTTCGGAAATAGGCTGGTTCAAAATTTTCATATGCCGCCCTCTAAAATCCAAATATTAGCTTTAACTTATCACCGCCACGGATAAGTGCAGTAATAACAACTTTTTCGTTCACCCCCTCACCATATTGTTAATTACGACAACGGCCCGTCAGATCCAAGTCAATCTCTCGCTTTATCATTTCCTCGCTTAACCAGTGGACTCCTCTCTCTCCATCGTCGCGGAGATCGGCATCCCCGGTTCCGCTTCCGTGGATCTTGGATTAGGGTTTCTTCTGGGATCGGGAAATGGGACAACAGTCGCTGATCTACAGCTTCGTCGCGAGGGGCACGGTGATCTTGGCGGAGTACACCGAGTTCAGCGGCAACTTCAACAGCATCGCCGCCCAGTGCCTGCAAAAGCTCCCCGCTAGCAACAACAAGTTCACCTACAACTGCGACGGCCACACCTTCAATTACCTCGTCGAGGACGGATACAGTGAGTGCCCTGGATCTCGATCCGGACGATTTAGGGTTTTCGCTCGACTCGATCCATCCTCCTCGCGGTTTTGGCGTGGTGCGAGGTGTGGGTTTCGGTTGATTTGAGGGCTTATCTAGGGTTTGTTTTTTGGTTGATTTTGATGGATCGTGATGTCTCTAGAATAATCGAAGGGGAAATTCGTGCTAGTCCTGGTAGTTTGATATCGTTATTTTGCACATTTGGAGAAAAAAAAAATTATCGAGTGAAAAGAGGAAACGAATGAGATGAATCTTCTTACAAAGTTTTCATGCGTTGGAGTGGGTCAGGATGATTTTGTTTTGCATGTTGCATCGGAAAATATACTCGGTTCAAAGGAAATGTTGCAATAGTGTTTTTGTCCTTTTTTATCTTGTCGAGATCACTAGCAATATCATTGATTAGAGAACTGGAAGATTTAGATTAATTTGATTGCATAGTAGATAACTGGACGGTCTATAGAAAGCCGATGGAATCAATCTGAGAGTCGTGTGTCTACAAATAGTTGATTGAATTATTAGATACCTGGAAGATCTGATTGAATCAGTGAAAATTAGACAATCTAGATACAGTTATTTGAATCGTATTAGGCATCTCATTTGCATTGGCCATTGCTTATTTGAATGTACATTATGTGTTTCTTTCGGCCTATCGCATCATGTTTAAGTATGTAATTTTAAAGGATTCTATTCCAAAAGCTATTTCTTCTTATTAGAGATTAACTGAATGATGATAGTTTGTAGACATCTGTCTGTCTTTGATTCTTTCAACTTTGCATCTTTGCGCTGGGTTGGAAAACCTATTGGTTGAATATTTTGATTAAGGGTACTTATCTACCATCGAAATGGAGATTCTCTCCTTGTTCTTTTCCTAGTTACAAATCAGGGAGACCTTCAAACTTCACTACAGACTTCTATCTTGCCTTTGCTATCAGTAGTAGTGTAACTGTGGGCCCATTAGTAGTGTTGATATCAGTTTGAGAGATATTTGTGCATCTTGAGCTGTGATGGTTCACATTTAATCCTCTAGTATTGGCCACTGTATATATAAGTTACATAAGAGAAAAGAAAATTTAAATATGCCTCTAGAGAGCTACAATAGTTCCTCGGTGGACGAATTTTATTCTCTTTTGATATTTTAATTCTTCCTTTGCCTGAAGGAATATGTTCATGGTAAAATCTATCTTTCAACAGCTAAAGGATTGCTGTTCACTGGCCTTTTTCCAGGCATATGGAAAGTTACCATGGGCTCACATAAATATTATCTTTGGTACCATTTTACTAGTCATACATCTTATTATTAGAATAATAAGTTCATTTTGATTTAAGTTTATATGCAATATTTCTTGAGTCTATGCTTTGTCAGTTTGTCTTAACTGTTTCAGAATTGTATTGTTATATAGTCATAAAGCCCATGGGTTTTCTGCATTTGCATTTTTGTGACTTGCATATTGATTTATTTTTCTGATAAGTATGGTTTATAAGGTTAGACTTGGGCCTTAGTTCCTTAGGTGTTTGTTATGTGGACTTGTCATCCAATTGGATGTCTAGCTTTGTTGCCATTTTGCTTCTTAGGAAAGGTTTCCTCGTACCTGCTTGAGTTTTAATAATTATGTTGCTCCAAGAGGCAATGTTGTTTCACTGTTGTACATAGTGTATATGCAATCTTCTTATCCAAATCTAATAATTTAGTACTTGCAAAAGTTGAGAGTCTTATATTTTATTCTGGTGCTTAAGTGAAATCATGCATCTTGCAGCATATTGTGTAGTTGCTGTTGAGTCGGTTGGTAGGCAAATTCCCATTGCCTTTCTGGAGAGGGTGAAGGAGGACTTCAACAAAAAGTATGGGGCGGGAAAGGCTGCAACTGCTTCTGCAAATAGTCTCAGCCGCGAGTTTGGGTGACCTTTCTGAAAACCATGCAAATGTTCAAACAATTCATCTAATGTTGTCTAAGCAAAGTTAATAATGTATCTCTCACTATCACATCAGGTCCAAGCTTAAAGAGCACATGCAGTACTGCGTAGACCACCCTGAAGAGATAAGCAAGCTTGCCAAGGTGAAAGCTCAGGTTTCTGAAGTCAAAGGAGTTATGATGGAAAACATCGAAAAGGTGCTAAGTTGTTTCCATTTAATTGAAAAGTTCATGCTAGGCTTTTTTTTTCATGCAGCGGTGGGATGTTATGAATTCTGTTCTTTTGATAATATTTCTTGATCCTTCAGGTTCTTGACCGTGGGGAGAAAATTGAGTTGCTTGTTGACAAGACAGAAAACCTTCATTCCCAGGTATGCAAGTTGTATATATAATGGAAGTCAGTTAGGAGGTCCCCAAGAATGCTGCCTCATCAAACAAACTCTTCATTATATCACCGTAATAGTATAGGAGAACCATGCTTTCCATTTGTTGTCATACATTTTCTAATAACTTCCTCTCTGATGTTTGATATCACAGGCACAAGATTTTAGGCAGCAAGGGACAAAGATGAGAAGGAAGATGTGGCTACAGAACATGAAGATCAAACTGATCGTCTTGGGCATCATTATTGCGCTTATCCTTATCATAGTTTTGTCTGTGTGTCATGGCTTTAAATGCTAATGTCAATGGATATGCTACTGTGGAAACCACCCTTTCCCTTATAGGACTGGTTCTGTTTGTGTAATGGTATAGCCTACTAGTTTCATGAACACTGGTGATTTGTGGCTTTAGCATTCCCGGTTGCGAATGAGTATTTTCCTTCCATTTTCTTGCTTGCTGGGACTTCTATGTTCTTGGTTGCTGGGAACCGGGATGGGAGTAGCTTAGCATATTGTATGTCATGCGTGTATAGCCTGGACGTGATTCTTTCTTTCCATATGAACAGGCAGTTGCTTTGTTGATGCTTTATTATCGCTTGTGATTATAAACTAAATGATTTATACTTTCTTTATTGTTTCATTGTGCTTTCTAAACTTCTCTCTAAACATTTTGTGGAGCTCTTGTTTACAGCCTATGATCAGGAAACAGCCTGTCGATCAAGTAGTCTCTCCTGCATCACTGTTGTGAGATACCACATCATCTCAGAAGAGTTTCTAGGGTGAGTCAGTCAACTTAAATATCATTTTCCTTGTTCCGCATAACAAAAGGGGTCATGTGCTTTTGATTACTAGCTTTGACATCAGCTGCCAATGTATTATTTTTTTTTTGTTTTTGTTTCCTAGATCCAAAACAATTGTCAGCAGTGGTGATGAACAACAGCTGCGATCATACTACAGTGGCCGGCAGCATACCCTTGGATCAACTCGTTATCTACAGGTGAGTCATCTCTGACTAAAGAGTTATATCTTCGAAGGTCGAATTTGTTCCCCATAAACTATCTATCTAAATGCTAGAAACTCATCTGCATGTAACACACGTACGCACGCACTTGTCGTCACTATAAAATGAGGATGCATGGGCCACGTGTCACCTCATCACATCGTAAAGGGTTTCAATCAAACCACTAGAGGAATTTATAATTTGTCAAATAAAAGTAGCGTTTCCATTATAAAAGTGTTAAATTCATAAGAATAATGGGATACCAACTAATTTTACGTTTTGCTGCCTATACACACTTAGTGACGAACGGCATCACCCTGTAGCTAATAGGTTTTATCGACGGCTAAAGAACACCCAAAAGCGCTTATTGCCCGTTTTCGTATTAATAATGTTATAATGTCTTCATGATGATTGCCACGTTTTGCATATTAGTGCAACCTGACACTAATATGGGTTCGATGTCCAACGACCATTTCCTTCATCGATGGAAGTGACAGTTATTAGTGTAAGAATCTTAAATGCGGCTGCAACCGCCATAACGTGTCTGATACATCTGACATTTATGAGGCCTTATTGCGTTACTTTGGATTATATCAGGATTTAGAGAGTTACAAATGCATAATTTCTGAATCGATTGGGACAGCGTATGTATGGTAGACACATGATTTGAATTCTGGATCTCCTTGTTCCAAACAAATCCTCAGCGTGTCTTCTAAGCAGTGAGTCATTTGTAGCCGTGAAAACATAATCGAGTATAATTATTGGTTCAACGACTCCGAAAGAAAGGTCCCTTTTTTATGTTGCAAGTTTAGATAAGAAAACTTGGTGGGAATTAGGTTATTCAGGATCATTTGAACAAAGTATTTTATTGGCACAACCATGTGATGAGTCCATGTTCATTTCAGGACTTGACGATCAAGTCTGGTTTGTGTTCATGAATCAAGTCCGTACTTGTTAGAATATGTCACTTTGAGAGGTGATATGGCATGAAGTGTGCACCCACAGTTGTGTTTGGAACATGCAGTGATCATGGCATAGAGCAGGCTAAACTAGGATACATCTCTTGCTACGACCGAACTGGAACTAGAAACGAACACAACTCTTTCAGAAAGCTACTACTGTGACTATCACAGAGACATACCACATACATGCATTGACATGCACATACACAGGGAATTAGACCCACTCACGGTGTGATGCCACCAGCGCCGCCGCCGAAACCGCCTCCGGCGCCGGTTCCCACACCGCCAACCCCGCCAAGTCCACCGAGACCACCCACTCCACCAACCCCGCCGAGGCCACCGAGTCCAGCTACACCAGCAGCGCCACCATAACCACCAGCAATGCCACCGACGCCCGCAAAGCCACCGACTCCACCAAAGACGAAGTTTTTCTTGTCTTCGAGCCCTGCACTGGCGTCGCCGCCGGTTGGCGTTTTGGTGGTTGCTGTGACGAGGTCAGGCACGTTCCTGGCGGTGGCTGGGGCCAGGACAAGGGCAAGCACAAGCAGCTCCGTGAACGCAACAGCCAACTTTGCCATCTCTCGCTCTCTCTCTCTCTCTCTAAGACTGAGGTATAGGAGTCACCAAATGCATGTCGGGCACGAGAAGAGTTGCGACCTTTTATAGAGGGCGAACAGTGTTGTGGGTGTTGGAGCAGTAAATGTAAGTAAACACCATAGCTGGTGAAAACAGAGGTGGTAGGTTCGAGCCAACCTGCTTTTACTGAACCTTTAGGCGAAGTAAATACAGAGGTGGTAGGTTCGAGCCAACATGCTTTTACTGAACCTTTAGGCGAAGTAAATACGAGAGAGAGAGAGAGAGAGAGAGAGAGGGGATTAATATCATAATATATGTATATTTCGTTAGAGCATAGAGAACGCTTTTTCTCATGCTACCGCTGCTCCAAAAATCTGCAAGCTTCCTCTCTTCGTACGTTTCCACCAGCGGTTACTGCTGATGGAATCCAGAAGAGACATGAAAGTGCTGAGAACAGCTGACGGCAACGGATTTAGGACTGACGAATATGATCCGTAGAACTTAGCCAGACCAGATCTTTTTGAATTTTCCTCATTATATTTACTATTATTAACATTCTCTCTCTCTCTCTCTCTCTCTCTCTCTATGTATGTATGTATATATACTATAAGATGTGAGCAGAAGGGTGAAGAACACAGTGGCTGGTGAGACGGCCATTAATGGATGCCATCATTTTCCTCACACATCTCAATACATTAGAATGCTTTGGGATATCCAAGCTGTTGAGTCAATATCGACTGATGGGTCCATTAATGGAAGCCTGAGATGTGAGATTCTAATATGGGAATTAAATGTCCAGGAAAGTTTTTTTTTTATTCATAATATCATGCATCAACCAAGCAAAATGATCTCCAATTTAGATTCATCGTGATCGATTTCTTTTACTTCAGATAGAACCTCGTTTTCTTTCTTCTCTCTCTCCTTCTCCTACATTGACAGCACAAAGTTGTGAGAGATTGCATGTACCAGCAAGGAAGTAATATATACAGAATGAAGTCATGAACAAACTGCAAGAAATATATGAACAATATCTACTAATCATTAGATTAGAGCCAATAGACTAATCTCAACCTGCATCTTTTAAGTTTTGCAAGAACCATAAGCCCAAATGCTTAAGAACAGCCACACTGCTAATTGTTGCCTAATGATTTATCTTTAGATTGAAGATTTGGCACTAAATGTTAGTCGACAAAAGGAAATCTAACTCCATAAATACATGTACTTTCTGTGGTCCTCAGCTCCAAATATGTAAAAGGCAGATCAAAACATAAGCCTGCAAGTTCAGCCAAGATCATCAATGGCTGTATCCTGTTGTTGGGTTTAGATGATAAGCACGGAAACAAGGTTTGATTCAGTGGCACGGCACTCTGTCTGTCACAAATCACCAAGATTAACAGAATCTGAGACATGAAGAAGCCATTGGATTCTGAACCATATCGGATCTAAAGCCACCACAATTTCTCAGTAGAGTCATTGTTTGTAGCACGAGCTGCACATTTTTACAGAATCTGAGAGACATGAAGAAGCCATTGGATTCTGAACCATATCGGATCTAAAGCCACCACAATTTCTCATTAGAGTCGTCGGTTGTAGTTCGAGCTGCACATTTTCTTCTTAGTATGTAGAAGCCGCGGAGTAGCTCTTCATCGACCGTCACCATCTAAACCAAAGTGACCAAAAATAAAAAAGAAATAATAAACGAATTCGTAAGCACCATTAGAGCAGCTTGTCAACTCAGATGAACATGGCTGAAGAACTGCTAAAACTTTGCCTTCCCATATCACATTGATGTCATCTCATGTTACAACACTCAGGTTTCCCTGACTGCAACTTGTCCCACATGCATGTCATTTGCCTCGGAGACTGGTAGTGTGCAGTGTAGTAATCATCTACGCATCCGAACTGACAGAACTTGAGACTGTGTATATATTCAACTGCTTTGGAGTGATTGAACTGCTCAACCCACATGCCCATGCTCACATCTTCCATTTTAAACAACTGCATCAATTTGAAAAACCTCTCATCATAATGTACAATCATCTGTCTAAATCTATGTATTCTATGTATCAAGGAACAACAAACAAGCTTTTGTTGTTCATACACGTCGGAAGAAATAGAGATCCTTAAAAAATAAAAAAGCAACAAGCGACAGAAAACAATCTGGTAAACTTAGTGAGCTTAATGATAAGATCTAATACCGTTCAAAATGGTGCATCGGAAGTCATCTTTCACTGAGAATATGGTTGCAAAGGTTGCCTTGACTCATTAATATCACTAATCGTGATGCTACGGTTAACGATATAAGTTGCTTACCCTTGAGAAAAAGAACAAATATGCTTACCCTTAATTTGTGTTTCTCAAATTCAGATACGATGAAGCGTGCAATGTCAGTAGACAAAACATATCCAGGACCATTTGCATATGGTGGATAGTCTTCTTCAGGCCATTCCTGTGACGAAGGGTCATAATCACTCAGCACAACGATCGCATTGTATCGGCTAACATTCAAATTGGAGTAACAAAATATAGATACATTGTAATGTCTAAAACGTTACATACCCAACCAGACTGATTATATGTTGGCTAGCGTAAGATGATCAGACCACAAAGGTATACATTGTCTTTGGAAAAACTTATGATACATACATACAATACAATATCACATGGTGATCATATAAATAAAAGAATAAATGACAGTTATAAATTTGTGCAACCATAAAACATGGCATCTCATGCCCTTGAGTAGTTTAAGATCATCATTGAGGGCTCAGATTTAGCATACCATGGTTCAGCCAAACATTAAATTACAACTTCAAATCAGAAGATGCCAGTAATGTGATATTGCGATATCCTATCATGATTATGAAATGGATAACTAAATATGCATACTAAAATAAATTTAGAAAGTCAGGTCTTTATGTCCATGTATCATAGTCTCAATCCTACCTGAATGTACAACCGAGTTTTTAAATTACTTGAGCTATGTGTAACCTGTATTTAATCTTTCATATTTTCAATTGATCGAACGAAATTCTTCCATTGATATCAGTTCCATTCATCCCAGCATGAATGGAATTGAGTCATCATATGGCCTGTTTTGTGTTTGCAAATGCCTAATCTTGTTAGTTTTCGCATTGATATAGTTTAGTTTTAACTGGATATACTTTAGTTTTAACTGGAAGACGAGCCGGACCTGAAAGTAAATGCATTGGACCCATTTTATTTCACTATCCAAAGCCCTAATCTTGTATCCCTTTAGATTAATGGCACAGACACCTGAATTGATCCATCATCACCACTATCAACCTATATATTTGCTCATTTTTATCTTTTTCGCACTTAGCATTCAGCAGCCTTCTTGCATGTCAAAATCAAAGAGAAAATGTTCAATGCCACTAAAAGTTGAACATCATGGTGTCATCAGGGTTTTAGAAGTTGGCCGGTTCAAAACACAATCTGGCCTCTTTCCTGCCAAACCAGGTGCGAGCGCACATGAAAAAAGATAAAAAGAGAATCCTAAACGAAGATATACAAACTGTATGGAAGCAGAGCAATTCAGCCAATTAACTTCAGGATCGGCTAATCTGATTGATCTGTGAACAGGCAACGTGACAAATCCCAATCGCATTTTTTATGAAGAACCAATCCCAGTTTAAAAAATTGTTGCATATATAACGGGTAATAGCAAAAGAAAATTTTATTTGAACATTAATCTAATCGAAACCAATTTTAATTCTTCAATTGACGGCATGTTGGATAAAATCATATACTTCTCTTTCCAATTGGTCTACATATCATGTGGAAATCAACAAAACATTTTATATTCTTCCTCAACAAATTAGATCACATAAGACAGCCAGCCTTAAAAGAATTGCTTAGTTACTTCAGTAAGTTCATAGTTCAAAAGAAATTGCATGTTAGTACTAACGTCACTTGACACAAAAAATTAGGGTAGCAGGAACCACCCAGCAGACAACAAGAAAGATTCCGATTCCTCCCATCAATTAAGCACAGCAGCTAAAGAAAAGTATATAACTATGTCCACCCTTTATGAAGCAGGATTCAATCAGCATAAATTCTACTTGTGCAAAATGTGCATAACCTCATCGTGAAGACAGAACAGAAGTATGTTACTGCATATAAGATTATAAAGGAGTTTCTATAATTCTTGAATTTTGTCATTTATGCATAACAATGCATATGATAAGAAGACCATGGACACCACGGTTCTAGTCATATACGAGAAGAGCTTCCAATTATTTACCTCATATGTTACAGCCCATTTCCCTTCTCGCAATGGCTTGTGGTGGTAATTTATGTTACCCACATACAGGCTTTTATTGCTGGGGACTTTCTTGACTTCATTCATGACTGCATCAACTCTAACAAAGGTATCATCATCACACTTCATTATATAACGAGCAGAAACAGTACGAACCTGTTGGAGCAAAGAAAAAAAGGAGCATACCAGAAAATACCTTGGATTTGAAAAACAATGACTAGGACCAAAAATATTTAGAGCAAGCAAATAAGTTATAAAGCAAAGCAAATTATAGTTAGTACCCCATATTCGCATAGCGCAACAGTCTTGAGAACGACAAGATCATAGCTATCCATAAAAGGCACTATAACAATGTCACCAAAGAACTCTGCCTCTTTCTTCAGCTCAATAATCACTTCCTTCCTTGGGTGCTGTTCAGATGAAGATTCTGTTAGTTTACATAACTCAATCGGAAAGAACATAGTAAGTGTAGGGCACCATAGCTTGAAACTTTACCAGAGCAACAAAAAATCGAGCCACCATATTAGATGATTCTCTAACTGTACGCATCCATGACTTCCTGACAGCCATACGCTCTGCAAAATGGGTGCCTGCAGAAAGGATTCCAATGAAAAGTTCTACAGGTCCATCAGGTATCGGCGGGACCTGCCATTCTGCTGACAAATCTAGATTCCTTTGTGAAGAAAAGCTAGGATGAGATGTGGGCAATGAACCAGCAATAATGGATTGGACATGTAGGTCCCCATTCACCAAAAGGCCAGTGGCATCCTCAAGAACAAAACTCTACAAACAATAATTTAAACCATAAAATTATCTCCAGCACAACGTTGAAGCCAAATCTATCAGTTGTGGGGCTATTGCAACAGAGACTTACAGTGCGATAAGGAAAAGAGGTCACGTGTCGCCCATCAACATTGACATGATAACCTTCCAATCCAGCACTTAAAGTTAGAACAAAGAGCTTTTCTTCTACGAATGGGTATGGCCAATCAATAAAAACCTTCTTCGTCCGACCAATCAAACGGTTTAACCACCATGCTGTCTTCGACTCCTCCTTGTCGTCGCCATCATTGATCCACTTTTCACACTTCACTAGTCCGTCGACTGAAACAGTGTCAGCACACAACACAAAATTCAATCAATGATCATTGAAAAAACGAAACAGCAAACATGAATAAACTTCATTAAAAAAAAAAACATAAGCTACTTAAAAAGTGAAACTTTACACTCTCAAAAGCTTTTCTTTTCCTTTGAAACTGTCACTGATATTGAATTCTAGAATGCTACCTCTGAAATCGATAGGAATAGAATTGCACATCTATTTCACTCATAATAATATCCCACTAAATTTATTCAAAAATTAGAAAAAATTGTATCTGTTTAGTTTTAGTTAACACTATGGCATGTCAAAGATTTAGTAGAATACTGCGTATAGGTTAACCCATTAGGAAGACGAATGATGTGATGTCCAACTATTGTACTACAAAGACGCATTTGATGAGTTGGAGATTAATCTTTTTAGCCAATTTTGGATCAATTTCAGATTCAACCCATCGACTTATCAAAGGGGTTAGCTACAGGTGAAAGCTTTGGTAACCCACCGGTTTCCTCGTTGTCCGTCGACTTCCAACCCTCGCACCGTTGGGCCGATCCCCACTGCATGCGGTAGCACGTGTTCTGCTCGATCACTGGTTTCCCGCTCCAGTCTCCCTTCAGCCGAGGGTTGAGATGGAGGATCCTGGGAGGGTCTTCCCCGTCCACCGTCTTGAGCCCCTGCAGCTCCATCATGAACTGCGACACCATGATCGCCTGCTCCCCTTCGTTCAAGGTCCTAATCTTCGGGTCATGCTCCGCATGGGCCCGGTACGGCTTCGCAACCAGGGTGATGTGCGATCCCAATGTCAGCCCACACGGGAGCACCATCACCATCCCCAGCTCCAGGAATTTCTCCCCGGAGAGCACGATCGACTGCGGGCATCTCTCCTCCGTCCGGTTCTCGTCCTCCACCGAAGCTGATCCCGCCACAGACATCGCCTTTAGCTCCTCCAACAGCTTTCGCCCCACCTCCCACGCATCCCTCGCAGCCTTGTGGAGTCCGGAGAACGGCCCGCGGCCGCCGGCGGTGGGGTCAAGCGGCCGGAAATCAAGTCCCGCGACGACCAGCGGTCGCGGGAGGTCGGAGGGGAGACGGAGGCCTGCGGGGCCACCGGCCAAGCCGGGGAGGCGGTGCGGCCGCTGGGAAGGGCGGAGAGGCGCGAGACGATCCTCGGCGCCGAGGTGTAGTGGGCGGCTCACCGCGTTGGCGGAGGACGAGGAGAAGGCCGAGGGGTGCCAGCGGGAAAGGAATGGGAGCTCGTATACGAAGACGAAGGCGACATAGAGGAGAGCAGCGGCGAAGAGGGCCTGGAGTGTCCGTTTCCGGCCGAGCGACAGCGCCGCCTCCAGCTTCGCCGATCTCCTCATCATCGTCGTCGCCTCCACTCCTCCAAAGTAAGGAATCGAGGGGTTCTCCGACGGAAACCCCACCCAATACTTTTTCTTGAGTCGATACAGATAAAGACTTGTTAGGAAGACGAAGGCGGAGGAAGTGAGGGAGAGAAGTGAGTGAAAGGGAAAGGCGAAAGGACGCAGTTTTGGAGGTCGGTGTGTCGATGGAGGCGTTTTATAGTTAACACCCGCCTTAATTAATTCATTTACTGTGGTTATGATTTGTTGGGTGGATTAGTACCAACAATTTTTATTATGATAAAATTACACAAATATCCCTCTAAATTGTCGATTTTTTTATTTATCCTCTAAATTTAATATAAGGCGGTTTTCTTGGAAAATATTTTAAATTTTGGGTGCAGTATCTTTTGATTTTTCTCAAACTATACCCCTTAATTCAAAAAAATCCTAAATTATCCTCCTTCTCCACCTCTTTTTCATAGTCATCGTCATCATGGTTGATCGTCGTTCTCACCTTTCTTGCGCCCTGCATTGCCTCTCTACCCTTTTGTCTCGTCAAAATTACTATTCGTAATTCTTATGCAAAAAAAGAATTCGTACAAGAATGACCAATTTAATAAGACAAATAGAAATAAAGAAGTAGAGGGTCGATGATAACTCTTGTGCCCTTCCTTTCTTACGTGAGAGTTGCAGGTGACAACTTCGACCAGGTAAAAGAAATGAGAGGTGGTGCAAGGCATAGGGGTGACAACAAAGACAATACAAATCGACCATACATGGAGAAAAAAACAACAATGGAATAGAGCTGAGGAGGAGAGATAATTTGGATAATTTTTGAATTATGAGATATTTTGAGAATAACTATTTGAGGAATACATAAAATAAAAAAATATTTATTAAAAAATCACTCTTTAATATATATATATATATATATATATATATATAATATTAAAATATTTTACCTTTTTTATTTATATTTTTAAAAAATATATTAAATTATGTGATGCTCACACGTATACTTAAAAGTGAAACTCATCATTTATATAATAATCTACTAACTAATCAGATGTCTCAACAAAAATCATGAATATTATATGTATAATGATGTATTAAAATTTGAAATTGTATAGATATGTCATTTCCAAACTGTACAAACATAAATATATGAATGAAAACAAATATACTCGTTCGTGTTTTGTGTCGTTATAGTTTGGTGCGGAGGATTAACAATGAGTATTAATCGGGCTGATGACGGACGTAAGGGGTACGTTTGGGTATAGATTCCGGAGGAGGACGGAGGAAGGCGGTTTTCCGGGACCCACGTGACACTGAGAACATTCCAAATGGGTCAATTAATGCGTGCGTAAGCCCGAGTACGAGACAAAAGTCCTCTTCCTCCCTTCGCGCACGTTCTGTTGTGCCCCGTTGCGTTTGGTGGGGACTCGAATCCGACCCGAAATCTTCTCGATCATGCGAGATCGATTGCACGAATCTCTTCGTATCGTTAAACTTCATAAGATCGATGGTATTTGATTCGCTGATTCTTGAAATTTCAAATCCACATTTATGTTTTTGTTCATTTTAGGATTTTTGATCTTCTTGTTTATGAAAATTTCAAGTTTCAAAACCTCTGCTGCACGATTCTATCAGATCCTCATCGAGAAGGCTTCATGATAGTGGAGAAGAAAATAAAAAGATCCTAATTCTAAGTGGTAATAATAATAATAATGATCATAATAAAGTCTTATTTATAATATATGCTATCTATATCAAAATTGGAAAGGTTTCATAAAAATGATGATGATGATGATGATGACCACTATAATTTGTTATTTTCATCTTCATCAAATTTCATTGTTTGTACAGCCTAACTTGGTTGACCTATTTATTGCATGAGTTGAATTCTATCTACAAAGGTTGACTCACTTGTCTTTTGGTGGCAGAGAACCAATATCCCTATATTTCCTTGGAACATATTACATCATAAAAACTTCATTGTATTGTCACTCCAAAAACAACCAAGAATACGATCCCTTTTAACTGATGGAGATAAAAAGTTTTGACTCTCTTTGAACATCTGTTTGACAGGAAACTAACAAAAAAAAATAAAAAAAGGCAATTCCATCTCAAGATGATCTTTCATGATAAAAAAAAAAAATGAAACATTTGTTTTCTCTCTCTTGGTTTCACTGGCTATGAAGAAAGATGCTTATGACTTGTACCCAAACTTATCCAATGTTTATTAAAATAGATAGATAGACTGTTAAGATTCTATAATTTATCATATAATATAGATTCTTTGGGATAGATTGAGCTTCATGTGGTTGTTTGCAAACCTTGATCATTGGTTTACTACAGCCATGAGTTAAACTATCAAGAAGAAGCTGTTCTAGAATCTTGAAATGCCATGTTTCACCCTTTTGTCACATGAACTCTGTGCCTCAAGTACAAAGACCCTCTGCTGCCAAAGATCATCTTCAGCACCTCATTGTCTGGATTTGTTTTCACTACTCTCTCTCTCTCTCTCTCTTAATGATGGGATGGTAGGAGCAGATGGCCAAGGAAAAGCAGCTCATGGAAGCCAATTTTTTCCCACTGTTGGAAAGTTGTCAGCAGACAGCAACTCAACCTTGTTGCAAGCAGGATGGCTTTGCCTAAAGATATCCTTAGCATATAGTAGCCCTGTAGGTGTTCTAAAAAATTCTGAAGCTTAACTTGTGCTTCTCAATTCTAGTTTCAAAGGATTGGAAGAAACACTGATTGGTGGGCAGTGTTCATTGGATCATAAATTATTAACATCCTTCCCTACTTTAAAATTGCAATGGGAATGCTATGCTAATGTTTTATTTGATTTTTATATGATAATTTATATTACATTAGATAAACTGAAATATTTTAATTAGTTTCACATCGAAAATAGATAAGATTAAGATTGACGTATAAATATTTAATGAGTGTACTATTATTCTAAACAATTTCATCAGCTAATTAATTCATTAAATTATTCTTCTCATACATATCGTATAATTCTATTTCAATAATTGGGTGGTGTTGATGGTTTCCTAAACATTGTCCTATTTAATAGGCTTGGATGAGAATCTTAATCATGCAACTAACACAGCTCTAACTTCTAACTTTGATTGAGACCACTCACCTAACTTTAAATAAACCAATAATGTGGCGTCTTTTATTGGGCATCACAATATTTAGGTGAGAGAGTCTTAACTACCTCAACTTATTTTGTAACTGACACGCGTCGGCAGTTCACTGCCTTCTCACAGCGCTCTTTTCATGCTGACTCCACAGCGGATCCAGTCGTTCGCAGGTCTTTCCCTTCCGCTACCTACTGTTTCGGACACACTAATAATTACACGACTTTGCTTCCCCACATACGTCTTAGATGTCTACCTACCTGCCTCGTAATTGCAGGAACGGGTTTCCTTGTGGGTCCCGCTCCAACAGTCACAGATTTATCCAATGGATGGACAGGTGAGTTTTCGAGTACCTACCCGGCGTGTAGTGCCGCTATATAAGCTCTCCTCGTGCCGAGAAAAGCATCGACCTATCGACCCACCCGCCGAACCATGGCGACATCCTTCCGCCTCCTCTCCGCCGCCGCCCTCCTCCTCTTCGCCGCTGCCGCTGTCTCCGCTGACGAGGTGCACGATGCGCTCCCCACGTACGGGCTCCCCTCGGGGCTCCTCCCCGACTCGGTGAAGAGCTACTCGCTCGCCGCGAACGGTGAGTTCGTGGTGGAGCTCGAGGCGCCGTGCTACGTCCAGTTCTCCCACCTCGTCTACTATGAGAAGACCATCCGGGGGAAGCTCTCCTACGGCGCCATCTCCGATCTCTCCGGCATCCAGGCGAAGAAGCTCTTCATCTGGGTCTCCATCACCGACATCGAGGCCCACCCCGCCGATGGAACCATCGAGTTCAAGGTCGGCTTCCTCTCCGAGTCACTCTCGGAGAAGCAGTTCGAGAGCGTCCCGCACTGCAAGGCCAAGGCTTCCGCCCGCCCCGGCTTCTTCCCTGAAGAGTTGCTCCCCCTTCCCGTTTCGGAGGTCGGATCCCTTCCTTGTTGATTTCTCTTCTATTTCCCTTTTGATTCGAGAATAAACCCTAAAATTTGGTTGGTCGTGGAGCGACAGTACTAAGCAAAAGAGACAGTTATAGATATCTATTTTACAGGCTAATTATAGATTACCCCTGGAATTAATTACTTTAACATTCTGATCCCTACACTTCAAATGTTATATTAAGATACGGGTACAAAGTAAAACATCCCTCGTCTTTGCTGACGGATATATACGACGGTGTTTCTGTAACTCGACAGTGTGAGGAGAAATAGGAATCCTAATGTAACTTTTGAAAGGATAGATACCAAGATGCTAAAGGTAACTAGCCCTTCTTTTGTATCTCCCTACTACATGGTTCTTTTCACTCAAAGTCCCCTCTTAAAACACTCGTTTGCCCTGTTATAGACATCCTATGAATTGTGTGACAATAAGGAAGAAAGGTGTGCAACGGAAGCCTTAAGTGAAAGAATGAAAAGAAAGTTGATACGGAGGCCTACTCCTCCGAGAGACCAAATGCTCCCTTAATGGTTGAGAAAAGATGAAAATTTTAGCTCACATCAGCAAATATCAACTCGGGCATTTGTGTAGATGTCTTACTTTAGGAGTGTATAGGAGCTATCATCAACCTTGAGCTTCTTTATGCATGCAAATTGCAACAATCGTAATATGCAAGAGAGTTCTCTTCAGCAGGTATAGGAAAATCCTGCTTATCTGTTGGAAGGGTCAGACTCCTTCCCCTTTTGTTCATCTATTTCAATAGCAAGATGCCACGTAGGTGGCTGCAAGTTATGGGCCACCGGTCAAAATTTGATGATACTGTTTTGAACAATTGTGGATATACTAGCTATGGTCGTGATGTGACGATTATAATTTTTTATGCTATGACATGCAATTCTCTAGTCTTTTATTCATGGTTCGTCATCAGCTACCCATTGTTTCAATGTTTATCAAGTTTATTCATTTTTTATGTATATATGCTCCTGCAAAGTTGCCTATTCGTGTTTATGTCCCTCCCAAATATTATTCTGCAACAGTGATGCAAAGGGCCAATTTTGTCGTTTCATATCATGATAGAGCTGTTTTAATTTTGTTGTAACACC